TTCCCTCTTCTCAAGGGGGAAGGAAAGGCAAAGCATGTTTCATAGGTGCTTCACTTTGTTCAGAGTAACAGAAGGCTCAGTGGTATCTTTACTTTTCCTATCTTTGACTACTTACATTTGAGAACTAGCTAAATCCAGTCTTACAGATCAGCACAGTTTTATCACATGTATCACCTTCCCTAGATTAAAAACATGTACATAAAAATGTACATATACACATGTCTCTGCTGCAAATTGGGTGTAGCTTCTTGCACAGATCAGCAAAAGTTCAAAATACCATACAACTCCACAATTTCCACATGTTGCTTTGATTAAATCCTTGCTGTGGATTTTCTCCAAAAAGGAGCATGTGTCAAGATACCAAGCTCCTACCTTGAGGAGGATATTTTATACAACTCCAGGATCTTCCCTTCCCACCTTATTTCATTGTTTTCTGTTTGCCTTTAAAAATGTTACCCAGCACCTAATAATCCTCCTAATCAGCCACAATATTGACAACATTCACACTAAGTACCAAGACCAAAATGCAGCAATTATACTGTTCTACAAGTTGGAGCTATTCTTCCAATATACATTCATCTCCTTTGACAGGCTAATAGGCAAGCAGGACATCAAGAATACTTCAAGTTGTATTACCAGTGGGTACACAGGAGGTCACAATTTACAAGAGACTTGACTTCTTGGAACAAGCTTAATGGACAACAACCATTAGAAAACCTTCATGCGCAAACAGCCTTGGTACCTCTAGAATAAACGAAAAGGTAAATCTAGAAGCACTGATGCAAATACGCTGACAAACAGCTTAACAAAGAGCGTTCAGGAATATAATCAGAAAACACCACACAGGTAGGTGAAGTTTTCACAAGCTCTAGGTCTGAAAGAAAATAATCAAACTGGGCCTACAAACTACAAAGAACATGAATTTCCAAAAAACCATATCAAAGATGCAGAAGATTGTGGGTAGAACCAAAAGCGTAACAGTGAAGGTCTCACTTTATTCTTGTCACAGAAACTAAGACTGTTTGAGCATTTCTGCGTTATTAGAAGTTCAAACATGTTGTTACGCAAGTGAAGGAGACAGGACACCAGTGAAGAAAAAGAATTAAAAGGCCTGAAACCTCTTCAAATTTACTGCTCTCAAACCTTCATAATCATAATCTCCTTCAAGTTTAACTTCTTCCTGCATTTTTATGACTCGTCAGCACTCAAACTTTCAAGTTTGAATATTAAAACCATTCAGAAACCAAGGAGTGCAACACTATTATAGAAAAGAATAAAGCATACCGGAAAGTATTCCTTAATCAGCATTATACAGGTGTCTCAAACATTTATTTTAACAGTCTATCTAACTCAAAAGGCTTCCTTCGTTGACAACATCAGAGAACCTCAGACTGTACCATTCTGTATGTTTTTAGATACCCACAATGCAAACCAAGAGTCTTCCCTCGTTCTTAGAATCATAGCATGGTTTGGGTTAGAAGGCACCTTTAAAGGTCAGCTAGTCCAGCCCCCCTGCAGTGAGCAGGGACATCTTAAGTGTCAAATTTCCAGATCAGACTCTCTCTTCTCAAGGTTCTCAGGCAGCTTACATTTCTACTCTCACATTTGTCACAACACATTGTCTTTCACCTCTTAAGAATCTGCAGTATTAATTTCATTCTGTAGAAAAAACAAAAATTTGAGAATCCTTTCCGTAGAAGTACCCTTCTAGCTGGAATAAACAAAACAAAGATTCACTAAAACTAAGGAGAATGACAGTAATACGTAGGGACAAAGAGCATTCTTATGAGGTAGAGTTTTGGCCTAGAAACAAGATAATTTAAGAGGATAACGGCAAAACCAAAAACGGTAAAACATGGGGCACTATGGATCAACTGTTCATTGTCTTTTCTAATATTAACAACTATGGGAAATCATATGTATATCAACAGAAGAAGTTTCAAAACAAACAACAGGAGGCAGCTCTTCACATAACAAGCAGCAGGTCAGCAGATCTTCTTACCCAAGAGTGTCATGGATGGAAAAAACTGATTGTGTGTGTTCACGAGGAGACTGGACAAGCCAGAGAGACGCATTCAAGAGAGTCACTAAAAATAGCATACAGGAACATTGCATAAAGTTCGTGAGATCCCCTGGCCTCTACAAAGTCAGAAGCGGGGGAAAATATCCAAAGTACCTGCCTTGTCCTTACTCTTCCTTGCATGCCCACTTATGTACACTGCAGGAGTCTATCCCCGATCTAAACCAGAACAACTGTTCTCATCTTCTTACTATAGAACGTTTTTCATTTTAATTGAATGTTTTAACCATCCTCAAGGAAAAGTGGGTGTTCAGAACAGAAATTAAGAAAAACGTAGAGCTGTGTCAATGTCATTGGTACTTCATGATCAGGAGACAAAGGAAAGAACTTCACTGGGAGAGAGAAAAACAGAACAAAGAATACTAGAATCTTCATCACTAAGTAAAGAGGGAACAAAAGAAATACAAAACTTCCTGGCTCTTTATTTTAAACATCACTGCTTCATTCTTTGTTTCAGAAGTATAGAATCACAGAATCATGTAGACTGGAGGGGACCTCCAGAGGTCAAGTGCAACCTCCTATTCAAAGCAGGTCCAGAGCTGGTTGCTCAGGATCTTGTCTAGTCAAATCTGAGCATCTCCAAGGATAAGCATTCCAAAATCTGCCTGGACGATTTCACCACGCTCACAGAAAAAAAGCTTTTCCTTC